AATTCCCTGATTTCCCATTTGCTATGAAAAGTCACGGCAAAAGGTTTCCCTTTTTTTTTTTTTGGCACAGCTCTTGCCTCTGCTCCAATGGCTCATAAAAATCAAGTGTAGCTGCAGCCCCTGTAGCCCTAGTAGCCCCGCTGCCGCGCCCATTCGACGCTCGCATGCAGTCGCTAGCGTGTCGGAAGCGACGTGCCAAGCGTCCGGACACGTGAAACGCCTGCGATAACCTAATGAACTGCGTAGCAACTGGAGGGGAGGGCGCCGGCACCCCGAAGGCCTCTGTCAAACTCATAAGCCAAAACCAAAAGGAGAAACAGAAGCAAAGAAGGAGAACAAATTAAACGTATTACGCATACGCAATGTAGGCCAAGCGCTGCAATTGTTTAACCTAATGGCAATTTTCAGCTCGTTCCATTTTTTGTTGTTGTTTCTTTTTTTTTTTTGTAACCCTTTGCTCAGTGTTTGCCCAGCACTCAAAGGGGCAGAGAGGTGAAGAGAGAGTAAGCAAAGCAAGAGGCGGGTGGGCGGGCTGGCCAGTTCGTTTGCCAGCGCAGCGCAGCGTGAAAAAGAGAGGGCGAGAAAAATATATGAGGCTGTGGCAGAGACTGGGGCAGAGGCAGAGGCAGAGGCCGAGGTAAAGTGGCATAAAAGAAAGCAAAATTATATTGACTTTGATTTCTCAAATTAATTTCCCTTTTCGCTTTGAGTTAACGGTTTACCTTCAGCTGCTGCTGATCCAATTTTTTATTGAATACAAAAGTTTGCAAATTTAACTTAAAGCGCTAAGGCATCTCCCATTTTGGACTTTAGTTTGTGTAAGAGAAATTTCAGCTTTAGAGCAGGAAATATTTTGCGCAAATAACTCGGAAGTATTTTCTTATGTAAATATGAAAATTGTGCAGAGCCAAATAATTTGATTGTATGCAAATTCCGAAATGCATGCATTCCCCCGATATTTTTGCAATTAACTGACACGAATGCTGAATGCAATAATATTTATGCGCAATATGCAAAATCAAAGTT